TAGTTGCTACGACCTCTTTGTATTTTAGGTGCTGTTGGGGATTGGTTTAGAGTTCCTAATTCTGGAAGAGGATTCATGTTACACCTTGTAGTTGTGTTGTTAAGATAGTGTTACCAGCTTAAATTTTCTTATGTGGTTTTTTTCTAACAAATTAGAAAGCTGTTTTAATATGGATTGCCTTACTTGTTTACAATTTTTAGTAACAAAACAAAGTCTCTAGAGGTCTAGTCTACATTTGTATGGGAAACAGTTGTAATTTTGCCAATGTTGAAAGTTTTTCTGTCCTTTTCACATTATTCCAATGTCTGAAAAACATTTTAATAAAGTATGTCTGTGCTGCCGAGTAAAGTTTTTGGAGTTTGTTTCTTCCTGGAACTGAGCTAAAAGCTGAATGAGTGTTGAATCTTTGAAATTTGATGGGCTTTGAAGCTGAAGAAACATCCATTAAATGGAACAGTAGCATTTGAGGTGTGCAAAGATTTCTTCTGAATAATGACTGATACTGCTTCACATTTATAAAATCAGTTCTTCAGAGCTTTATTCACACTCTGTTGCATTTGTGCTTATCTTGGCTCATGGTTCTGTTCTTACTGGACTGGCTTTTACTGCATCCTGCAAGTACCAGCCTAGGCAAATGTGATTAAGCACAGTAACATAAAGAGAAATTTAGAAGTGCTGTAAAATAGTTATCTTTGACATAGCTTGAATTTATTGTTTTAAATGCCCAGACAGAATTTTGGAAGTTGATTAGAATTTTTAATAGACTGGACTTTTATTTTTTATGGCAAAATTAAGGTTTTTTTAACATGTCTTTCACCTCGGATGAAAGACATGTTAAAAAAACCTTAATTTCTGGTGGAATTTCAACCATGTGCCAGCAGAAGGTAGAAAGGGAGGAGTTGATGTACAAATCTTAAGTTATGGTAGGAACCTTCCTGCATGATCAAATTCTTGGTTATAGCTTTTGTAGAGCCTGTTCTTCGATGACTGTGGGGGAAATGCAGATCTTAGAATAATTCTTCCTTTTTTTCATTGCTGTGGCAGGAGTTACTGTAAATTAGAAGAAGGGAGTGTGGGGAAACACAACTGTGAAACATGCTGCCACAAGGTGGAGGTCTTGTTTTGCTTGTTCTTTTTTAATACTTGTACAGCAACACTTCCTGCACTTCCCTGAAACTTCCATAACTTGATCATCGTTGGTTCTGGCATTAGATACAAATTGCATCCTCCTGCAGCTGAAAACTCTTTAGCAATTTACTGCTTGCAGCTGGATAAACGTTTTACCAGAAATGTTTCTGCTCAAATACACTCACTCCTGTAAGAAACAGATGAGGAATTTAGGAAACAAGTGGTTTGACCTGTGCAGCAAACCTGTGAACTGCATTATTTTTTTTCCAGTGTTCATTATAAAAACCCCAGTGTAGTCAAAAGTGGTGCAAATTAGTTTATGGTGCTGTTGACAGCAGTTTTGTGCTAAAAATCGGTTTTTGCTTTGTATTTCCTTGTTCATGATTTTCCATCACGTTGGTCCAAGCAGAATCAAAATATGGACAGAGAAATTAATCAGTAAATTCTGTTCAACAGATGCTAATTATTAATTTCCTTCGATAAATTATGCAATTTTAAACACTAGTCTTAGTTTAATTTTTTCACATGAAAATTTATCCTATCAGTGTATCATTTTGATACTATTTTAGGGGTTTCTGGATTGAAAGGGATGTTTTTTATCTGTGAAACACTGCATTTCATATTCATATTGCACTGTAAGCTGTATCTGTACTTCAAGTTGAATGCTGCTGCTTTTACAGAAATGGCCACGTGATAACTATGAAGGATTTTTCTCCAGTCAAAGAAATCAAGTAGTTGATGGAGAATAAAAGCTCTTAAAGCCCCTGTCCCGAGAGGACAAGTGATAATAGCCAGTGGTTTTTAGAAAGGGAGTGGAGGCTGAGTGTGATGGATGTGAATGCTTATTTAGCCTTTCCTGGACATCGAGGAAAGGCTGGGACACTTAATTATTTATAATACTCAACTAGCCCCATCACAGGATTATGGCAGAAGTTTGCTATTTTATCTCAGGTTTTGCTTGGGGTGCATTCATTGCTCAGAGCCTTTTGCTGATCTCCTGGTTTCTTTTCAGGAGGTTTGCATAAATACAGGATTCCTGTGTGATAAAAACACTGTGATTAACCCCAAAGAAAAGCTGCATTTGGGGCATCAGTAAAGGAAGGCACATTACAGCTTAAGATGATTGACTGATAGAATTTTCCTACAATTAAAAATTCACTCTTGGCTGTGAGTTTTCATAGCTGTTCTGCACTTTCAGAACAAAAAATATTATTTTCGGCAAGCAAGTCTTACTTTCTGCATAACAATAGAAGCTATGGAATTAAACTGTGACAACGATTTCCCCTGCAACTGCAGCATCTTGTTTTTGAGTTTGGTGTGTTTTGTTGTTGCTACTAAGGGCATTTTGTACATAGGATATCAACATTTGTTCTCTATTTTGACAAGTTTTTTGGGAAAGTATTTGGTACGCTTAGAATAAAGAAATTTCCTTTTGGTTTTGTAATAACCTCTCAACACCAAAGGGAGGACAAGTGCTTTGTAGCTTTGCCACAAGAGGGTGAGGAGAGGCTCTCGGCAGAAGATTAAATCCCTGAAAGCAGGTTAAGGGATGTCACCTGCTTTAAGATGTAACCCTTGATTTGAAAAAAAAGCTGTCTCATTTGGAAATGTACATGAAACCTAAGTTTGAAATGTGGAATAACACAGTGGGTCAGTGAGGTGTCACCATCAGTGTTGGGACAAGCTCTGGTTATTATTTATCTTTTTTGATCTGGAGTGTTCCCTCAGTAAATTTGGAGATAACTCTCAGTAAATTTGGAGATAAATTGGAGTTCTGGATGACACTGAATTGGATCTGCTGGAGGGCAGGAGGGCTCTGCAGAGGGCTCTGGCCAGGCTGGATCCCATGGGATGAGGGACAGCCAGGGGAAGTGCTGGGTCCTGCCCTCGGCTCACAACACCCCCATGGAGCTCTAGGCAGGGATATTAAACTGGACATTAGGAAAAGTTTCTTCACTTCAGTTTCTTCACTGAAGGTGTGGAATGGGCTGCCTGGGGAGGTGATGGGAATTATCATCCCTGTGAGTGTTTCAACAAAACCTGTGGGTGTGGCACCTGGGGACATGGTTTGGGGTCAATGAGGTGGTGCTGGACTCAAAGACATCTTTTCCCAACCTTAAAAATTGTGTGATTCTATGAGCTTCCCTTGTAGTTTTAAAGATGCTTTTGAATTCCCAGTAATTGGCAGTAAAGAGGCAGGGCTCAGTTCTGCTTGCAAGGAAAATGCTTCTTTATTAACCAGTTCTGTGTTAAATGAAGCGCCGTCTCACAAAAAGTAACAAGTAAAGATGTTTAATTATTAACAGGGTTTTTTTTTGTTTGTTTGTTTCAAAGGGAGAGCTTCTTTAGCCCTCTTAGTGCCTGAGTCTGTCCCAGTATCTGTTCTCAAACCTCTTTCTGGTTGTACCCATTGCATCAAAGGCCAGTTGCATTTATTGGCTCCAGGTTCCTTTTTGCAGAGTTGTCACTCTGCCCTGCGTGACTTTGTACTGGTGCAAAGCTGGTTTAAATAAATGAAATGTAAATGACATTTTGAGGTCTCAGTCTGGCAGAAATGTTCAGTTGAGTAACGTAAAAGAAAACCCCAGACAACACCAAAAACTGAAGTATCTTTAATCGCTTCTGTTGTGACTTCCTTCCAGCTGAACAGAAAGCTGGGGTGTTTCTCAATCTTTATGTAATGTGATAGGCAAGTCCTGCAGAGGGAAAGACTATACAAAAAAAGTAAAACTTCCTCATTTTGCATTACACTCATCACACTGAATCAGAACAGGCTGCTTTTTTCATTTGCAACTGAAAATACTGGCTCAAATACTGTTGAATACTGTTCCTTCCATGTAGCTTCTTATCTGGAAAAGGAATGTAAATTACAAGGTCAGCTGCATGACAAGAAAGCATAAAGTTGCTGAGAGAGAAGTTGACATTTTCAAAAGATACAAAGGTGGTCACTCATCCTGTCATTAATTATGTTCTTTAATTAATTTTCTGTCTTAAGGAGAGCATAACAAAGGTGTCATTGTACTACCAGGAGCTTTGCAGGCTGCAGCTTCTGCTGTGGTTAATTTTGTCTTTCATTTCTATTCAGACAGAAATGGGTGTTGCTGCTGTTGTAGAAAATATTCTGTAATAATCTCTTTTTTAATAATCTGCTGTAATAATCCCGTTTTTAATGGAAATTTGGGCTTGGTGTGCCATCTACAGCATCAACTCGTGGAAGAAAAATCAGCACCCATCTGGGAGATTCTTCTGTCTGTAAATCTTTAGAGCAGGAGTGGGATTAAGAAGTAGTATCTCTCACCTCCCAGTTCTTATGTTTTAGGAAAAACAAGGAAGAGTGCTTTCTCCCATGGGTTTAATGCAATGTTAAGTGTCTGACTGGATTTTTCCTCACGAAAATCCATGGGACACTACTGTGACTCCATCAGACAGTTCTGCCGTGCTGCTGCATCAAGCACAGAAACTGGGTTCGTTTTTCCTCTCTGTCTGCTTCTCTCTGAAGAATATGCCTTCTTCAGGTCAGTAAAGATGTCTTTACACCAAGGGAAAAAAAACCAAAAACAAACCCAAACAAAAAAACAAAACCAAAAAACAAATTAAAAAAAATAAAATTGAAATAACACACATGAGCTGGGCCAAGCCACTGTGCCAATCCCTGTGCACAGACCTTGCAGCTTCACTTGAATAAATGTTTCCCTGAATGTTTTGCCACTTAATTCCCTATCACCCTGATTTTTGGTTTCATGAGGCAAAGACAACAATAGCACTCCCTAAGAATAACAATTCTTTCAAAGAATTCAAGAGCAGTAGTAAAGTTCTGAAGAAAGCTTACCAAAAGTGTGTGTTGTAGGCATTAAAACACTGACAGCATCCTCACCCAGCTAGATTTGCTTTATTTCTTTGCCCCTGGCCAGCAGATATTTATTTAAAACCTGGAATTCTGCATAAATGAGTGTTCAGTCTTCATTCCAAATAATTATTTACCATTGAGAAGAGGTATAAAAAAAATTAAAAGGACAACAGGTCTTGGCTATCACAGGGATTGTGATATCCTTATTTCCAGAGCCTTGTTTAGTTTTCTCAGGAAGAGAAGCAGTTATTCACAGCCAAACATGAGCAACCCCAGCCTTGTCAGACAGATGAGTACAGATCTGCAGGTTCATGGCCTTCCTACACACCTTGGCTCATTGTGTAAGTGCCTTTCTGTTGGAATGAGGCTGTTGTTGCTTTATATCCCCATGGTTCTCCTATCCCCATGACTGACAGTCACAAAGAACATTCTTAAATAACATGCTCACAGCTAGACTGGTCCACAGACAGAATAAAGAAATTTAACAGATTTGGCTTTGTGTACTAAGCTTTTTCACCCCCACAGAGCACACACAAAGCATCAAATAACTTCTTGTCTGATGGTAAATACCCATAATACCTTGAACTTTATGAATAACAAATTTTTAGCCTTTCTGCTATGTCTTCCTTTTGATTTTCAGTTCCTGCAGTTTTTGGAAAACAAAGCACATGGTGGTACTGCCATCCGTGCACAGTTTTAAGAAATTCATTTGTTCAGAGGGGCTCTGTATCAATTTCTAATTCTAGCAGCTTTTGGCAATGAGATTTTGTGTAGTTATTTAAAATAAGTGTGTCTCTTCTGGGAGTGAAGGATTGCTGAATGAATTAGGCATAAAACAGAGGGGAAGCAGATAAAGTCACCCAGGAATAAGGTCTTGATTTTACACTCCAAATTCAATTGGTCACCATAGAAGACTGTGTTATTAAATATTTTTAAATTTTTTTTTTGTCTCAGTGCTACCATGAGAGGTCAGGGTTTGCACACACTCTGCCAAATCCTACCTGTCAAGCTGGAGTTTCTGCTGCTTTAAAATAATGCTGTTCTTCATGCAAGATGAGTCCCTGCTTCCTAAAACTTATCTGATGATCTCATTCATTATGTATGCAGAGCTTTCCCTACACAAAAGTAAGCTGTAGAGTTAAATTCAGCCTGGTATAAATGCAGGATATGTTGGCTAAGTTTGAATTCACACCAGCAGAATGTGCACTTCACTGAAGAATGTGGTGGTGCTTCTTCATGGAAAAGCAGAATATCTTTTTTTTTTCCTGAGTGCTGTGCACTATAATACTTTTGACAGGAAGATTATTGCAATTTGTGTAATTTTTCTCTTGCACATGCTAGAGTCATAACTGAAGAATCTTCCTGTCAGACCTTCCCTGCCAAATAGGAAATGGGTAATACAATTTTCAAATCACTTTGCAGCATTTAAATAATGTGCCAATTTGTAGAGCTCATTGCACAGAGATTTTAATAATCAAAACATTGGTATAATGGACCTGCAGATAAAATCAAATGAGGAAATGCCATTGCTGCGCTTTAAGAAGCAGAAATAAATATTGGTTGCTGTCCAGCTGCCTAAAGAAACATTACTGTAGGAACAAGAAATCATAAAAACAAAGCACTTTTTAAACCTGTTTTGCATTGTTAATTACCATAGTTTAATACTTTAAACAATAAAAGAATTTTGCATCTCTCGATGACGCAACAATTAACATATTTGCAGAATCCATAGGGTCCCTGCTCACTAAACACGTTTGGCAGCTCAGCAAATGCCACAGATGACTGCAGCATCCACGGCTGATGGATTGAATTCTGACTGTGATTTATCCCTCTGCACTCAGTCTGTAAATCCAAATTGCACATTCCTGGGTTCTGGGTGCCCGACCCCGATGGGTCTGAGGAAAAACAAACCTCCTTTAGTGCGCAGCTGCACCCCAAATCACACGATTGTCTCCTTGGAGCTCCTTTTGAGGGGCTGCAGGCCCAGCAGGGACTGCTGGGTGCAGGGGACGTTGGCAGATTTTGGGATGCGGAGCATCACCCGCTGATTGTTCCGACGCCACTCGTGGTACAGCCGGCAGTGGTACCTGAAGGACACCTGGGGACAGGAGGGACACGAGCTGCCTTCAGCCACTGACACCCTGCAAGGACCCAGCCGGGGCTCCAAATGCCTCCCAGTGGGACAAAATGGGTGAGAGTTGGTGAAAAGAGAGACCCACCACGCCCCAAGCTACCAGAGCACAGGAGAAAAACAGCCTGTGAACTATTTTACCTCTCATTCCTCTTTTTTTCACAGCCTGAAAAATCAGACATCCTGCCTCTGCCTTTCCCAAGAGCTGTTGGCACACGTGGAATGAGAATTTGGGACATCCTCTCCTGCTTCAGGTTGCTAAATTGACAAAGAATGTAATTGTTTGCAGGCCGATGAACAGAGATGTGTTCTACCTTGTAATATTTTACTGCTGAATGCATCAAAGTTGGGCTTGCACAGAGGCAATGAGCTGACAATGTGTGTGTCTCAATTTAGATTGTCTCTGAAAATTATTTTTTGTTGTTGTTGTTATCAGGTAATTTCAACCTTTATGTGGAAATGTGATTGCTGTGGAGATGCAAGATAGCTTGGCCTCATGTTTTTAAAAAAATAGATTACAACTTGTTTTAGTGGCAGCCAAGCATTGTGGGAGTTGTAGCTGTGTAAGAGAATGTGTATGTGCAGTTTACAAAAAAACAAAAATCAAAACAAAACAAACAAACAAAAATAAACAAACAAAACCCTCAAAAACCAAGCCAAACAAACAAAAAAAACCCTAACAACAAACTGTAAATTTTGAGAGAAATGTGCCAAGTGATGATTGTTTTCTCCTTGAGCTGTGGGCAGGAGTTGACCCATGCACTGTATCCTTTCCATACTGCAAGAAGAGCTAAAGAACTAAAGAAATGTACCTTTCAATAATGTCCTACAAGGGCTAAAAAATACTTTTCTTTTTCTTTTTTTAATTAGACCTTTTCACAGCTGTCTGAGGGAAACCTATAAAGCTTTGCTTGACTAAGCAGTTTGGCAAAGGCAGCTCTTCAGACTGATCCCCCCAGCTTTCAACCTCCTCTCCTCCCCCTGAAGGAAAGCATCCTGCATCCTCTGTTTCTGTGGAGCAGTGTGTATGAAGGAATTTGAGAAATCTCTTCCTAAAAGACACTGCAGGAGGAGCAGAAATCACTTGGAGTAGTGAGGAGGGTGAAAACACCCCAACACCTGCAAAGGGATGCCCTGTAAAATGCAGTGACAGGAGAGTGAGCTGGAGTTCAGGTTAGGTTTTCAAGCAGCACAACATGAGGTTCTTCGAGTAACAGCTGCAGTGTTAAACTAGGTATGTATGTTATACAAGAGAAAGCAGAGTTTTAAAATTAAAATTTAAATTAAATTACTTTTTAAATTAAAATTTAAATTTAAATTCTTAGTTTAAGTAAGAACCCCCTTTTGGTGTCTGGAGCTTTCTTCTTGGGAGGACTAGGTGCCTTTTTTGGTGTGCGCGCGTGTGTGTGTGTGTGTGTGTGTGTGTGTGTGTGTGTGTGTTAAAAATACAGAGGAAAAAGCAACAGTGTTTTATGGATAACTTGTCTGTTTTAGAGGGAGGGATAAAACAGCTTCTGGGATGCTAAAAATAACATCCCTGCTGCTCACTGCTCACTGGGACAACTGTGGTGTGTAAATAATCTGTATGCCAGCTTTTGCCCCCGGAGAAAGAAGGCTGATTTACTGGAAGTAAAACAAAGTTTTAGTTCCCTTCATTTCCCCAGGACCTAGAGGAATATTGTGTCATCTTGTGTGTAATTTACCCTGCAGCTCTGAACCTATTCCCTGCACAGCCATAGCTATGTAACAGGATTCTCCCACTCCTGAAAGTGACAGGGCATGTGCTGCTGAAGAATTCGATGAAATTAACACTTCTGTGTGTGGGACCATTCCTTCCTGCACACAAGGGGAGCCTGGAGCCCTCCCCGAGGCAAACCCAGGCTGGGGCTTTCCTACCTCACTGAAAGGAGGCTTATTTTGACTCCAAGCTCCAATCATTTGGTGATTCACCTCCCTAAAGGCCTTCCTGCCTTGCCCTTCTCAAGTGAACACAGTGCTCCCCTAGCCCATCCATCTCCTATTGACACAAATAACAATTTAAAACGGAATTTCAGCTGTCCACCACTGAGCGAGCATCAAAGATACTGAATTTTGATTAAATCAACCAAGGTATGCCTTTATATAAGGCTCAGTACCACTAGCATGTTCTCCAAGAGCCAATAGCACGTTTTCCTGTGTGCTTTAGAAGGGGTAAAATTTATAAAGTTAATATAAGGGATTTTTGCTTCTAATGCTGCAAATGCAACACCCAGGGATAGGGACCAAAGTTGGGATGCTGCAGTAATCTTAATAAGCAAGATTGTGTCATGGCTAATTAAATCCACCTGAAAAAAAGCCTTTTACCACTTCCAGCAATTTGGCGATGGTGAATTAAGTGTGCTAGGTAAATTGTTCAGAATTTTGGTTTCCAAAACAGCCACACACAAAGCAAATTTGAACAATATTTGCTTGCATACCTGCCAGGCACATCTACACCCAGCACTGCAGGAGAAAACAAGCGTGGCCTCACTGCTGGAGTACATGGCCTGTCTCAGGAGAGTGCTGCTGCCTCACAGAAAAGCAGAAAACAGCAAAAAAAGATTAACTGCACGAGGCTGAGGCAAAGCTCTGAGCTTTCCCTCCTGCCTGCATTGCTCCGTGGGTGAGACAGGGTTCACAAATGTGCAAATGAGATTTCCCTTTCACAGCTTTCTTGGAAATACTCGTGAGGAGGTGTGGGGGGGTTTTGTGCTCCCCTCACACCCCCTTTTCCTCAGGGCTCAGCACAGGGGGGGTTTCTTGCTCCACCAATGCAGTTTTTCTAAAAGTGGCACCTCCTCAGCAGCTTACACGGATCCAAATCTGCTGAAAGGAGTCTGGGATAGAGTATGGCCATAACCAGAGAGGGGCAGAGCTGTGTGCTGGCCCTGTGGGATGTGGCCATGCTACAGTGTCCTGGCTTCACTATATGATGCTTTTATCCCCAATTGTCATGTTCTGTTTCTGCTGAATAATAAGTTTTGCAGCTTTAGGACGTGTTCCAAGAGTGAAGGGGGGGAGAGAAGAAGCACGGAGTTTCTTTTCAGAAACTGCACTCACTGCTCCACATTCCTGCTCCTGGACTGTGATGTCTGCGGATGGACAGACAGCAGGACAGAGCTCTCCTTTGCTTTTAGTTAGTTTTAGCTAGCTGAGACAAAGAAGTTCTCTAGATTGTGGGGGGGTTTCCCCCTTTTCTTTGGACCTGTTTAGACCTTCTCCAGACTGAATAACAGAAGAGCACTGGCAGCTCACACCTGTGACCCACCGGCCTGGGCCTGGGCCGCGGCATTTCCAGCACCACAGGGACTGATCAGAGACTGAGTGAGCTGAGCCACAGCCCACGGAGGAGACTTTGTGAGATTGTCTCTCTTTTGGAGCAGCAAGAGGTTTCATTGTTTAATATTGTTTAGGTTTTATTGCTTAATAAACAGGTTTTTCCACTTTTCTCCCAGGAGGTATTTTCTCCCAGATTGATTGGGCGCCGGGGCCGATTGAATCTGCTTTCCTAGAGGAGCTCCTCTGGGGGTTCTCTCCCAAATTTGCCCTCAACCAGGACACATATATGGACAGGTTGGGCTTTTCCTGCCCCAGCCTGGCACCATCTGAGTGCACTGCTGTGTGTGCTCCCCCTCTGCACCCACCCTGCTCTTCCCGCTGCACAAAAAGGTGTGAAATGTCAAACACAGCATTATTAACCTCGGCTTCTCAGTGAGCTGCTACACCATGGCTTGACAAACACCCATTTTGGCAGCTGTCCCCTGTGTTCCTCTCACTTCTGCTGCCTGTCAGTGCACTGGGGCCAGTAAATTATCTCAATTCAACAACTTGACAGAACAAGTCGCTCTCAGGATGGATTGGCGGGAGAGGGACTCGTGCTGGGACACAGAATGCAATTTAACCTGCACTGGAAAAGCAGCTCTGTTTTCACAGACCTGGGCACGTGTGTGTTCTGATTTCCCCCACATCCAATACTTTTGAATTGTAAGTTGCATTAGAATAAAATCTGAATCCTCTGTGGCAGCCAAGTTGTTCACCTTTAATCTTTTTTTTTTGTGTGTGTGTATGTGCTGTGTCTTCACCCTTTGCACATCACATTTGCTGAAACTCCCTCCTGTAGTGTGGATTCTTTAGGGTTTTTTTGTTAAGGTTGGCATTAAATGTGTGAGATGGTATTTTTTGTTCAGACTCAGATGTTTATTATTTTTATCTATATTACAATCCCACAAACTGAGAGTTCTATAGTACTTCACTTTAACAAACTAAAAAAGGAGCTGTATCTCTCTCTTTATAAGGCTTTTTAAGGATAAAGTGTCTAATTAAGAAAAGACGTTTATATTGTTTTTACTTTTAACTTAATAACTAACTACTTGTGGCCCGCAATGTGGGCTTTTTTATCTAATTACACAATACTACCTAAACTCATGAAGAAAAAGGTGAAGGAGAAGGACAAGTCTTCACCCTAAAATCTCTATCTGGTTCAATATACATTACTATATTCTAAAACTTTAAGTTTTCTGCTGTGAGACATTACACACTTTTATTCATACTACACACTCATAATCCCGGTTCTATCATTCCATTTTGGAAGCTTCTCCATGGCTTCAAGTGAAATGCAGTGTTCTCTTGGGGGTCAGTGCCTATCAGCACAGAAAGGCCAAAATTCTCAGCATCCAGGGTCCCAACACTGCAGCATCTGCCTTGAACTCCCCCATGCTGCTTCCCTGCCTCCCTCCTGCTGTCCCCACTGGTGTTTGGCATTTGGGAATCCTTACCCCAAAGCAAACTGTCTTTCTGCTGTCCCAGGGAGCTTGAATGGTGTGGGGAAAAAAGAGATTTCATGCAGGTGCACCAGCACAGGAGGCAAAATAGAAGCAAAGCTCCGTGCCATCACCTAGAGCGCTCTGTGCCATTCATTTCCCTGTTTTTGCCCCTCTCCCTTTCCCCCTGTGATGTAAACAAAACCCCTGACACTTACCAGGGTCCAAAAGAGGTAAATAGTGAAGAGTGCCACAGTGAGTGCAATGAGGCCAACAGCTTCCAGCCTACTGCTAAAGTGCAGGTGGTCCACGGCTCCTCGCAGGCACAGCCAGCCAGAGACGGTGGCCAGCGGGGTGATGAACAAGAAGCACACCATGTCCCCAAAGAGGGTCCTCTTCTCGTGCTGGGGGCCCGGGTTCCTCAGCCACTGCACAGGCACAACACAGCCAAGGAGGATGTCAGCCCAAGGAGGATTTTTTTTTTTTACCCCCAGCTCAAAGCACAAACCCACCCCTTAGAGGACTGAATGCGGACATGGCTTTCGGCGTCCCCCGGGGATGCCTCTCATGGATCTGTGGGTTTTTAATGTATAGCTCTATAGTATTTTTCTGTATCTCCTCCAGAACTTTACTAATATTTACACTAAAAATTTTGAAAGCAAACCTAATCGCATCAAATTTGATCCCTTGCTCTTCTGAAACACCCTTGGAACCCCAAGAATTAGAGTTCCTGCGTTCTCTGGAATTGGATTTTAATGTTAATTTTAAACGCATGGGAAGAAATCAGTCTAAAACTTTTTAACTTTTTAAAAACTTTCTCCCTATCACCCCGTGTAAAAGAATCAAACCTTTTGGTACAATTACACTTCTGGCTGCCTTTCAAAATCCAGTAATGCAGCTGCCATCAGGGATGTTTTTAGTTTAAAAAGATCAAGCCTCAGCCTTTTAGTGGCTGGAGTTTTTAACTAAAAGATTCTTTTTAGGAAAGGTATCTATGTGGTTATTGTATTAATCATGATACCTTTCAATCTGCGCATAGATTAATTAATAAGGCAATTAAAAGAGTGGTTGAAAAGAAAGGGAGAAATGTTGGAATGTTGGGGGACACAAGACAGATGATGGACTTTGGACCTGGTTAACATAAGAGATTTGATAACATCATGCCTTGGCAAAAGCAAACAATACATTGAGGATTGCAAGAAGATTCAATCAGATGGGTTTACTGGAAAAAGAAAATTACACCCTCTCAGCAAGCAAGAGATGTTTAAAATGTGTAAGTTTTTTATGTGATCTTTAACCCAATCATTATAGTGAAACATTATTAGCCTCCCTAAAATAGTATATAAGCATTTGTATCCCACAATAAATCAGATTCTGATCACCAAATCAGTCTTCCCTGTTTCTATCCATCTCCGACACTTTTCCTGCCCTCTCTCACATTTCAGAATAAGAAGCCAACCCTTTCTAGCAGGTTCTTGGAATTCTGTTTAGTCTCACTCTCAAGAAGAGAACTTTTAACCAGGAAACCTTGTTTTTCACCAGAATTTGAGAGACATAACAAAATGTAGGGCAAGCAACCCCCTGGACCAACTCCAAGGGACAGACCCCAGGGCAACAACATTGCATATACCTGCTAAATGTACAAATTAATTGAGCTTATTATAATTAATACTAATTAATTTTTAAAATTGTAGAAATCCTGTATCACTCACTTTCATACCTACACTTTGTGCACCTGAAAGCTTTCATTAAAGAACTGCTTTTTACCTTACCACTCTTAATATTGTTTTCCTTTGTATTTTAGGCAACACTAGAGATCTGAATTTCTCCCCCTTGCCTCCTGCTGGTGTCCACCTTTATCTGTACCTACCATGTCATTCATTCAGCTGTGGTAAAGGCTGCCTTGAGAAATGTTTTATGTAGTGCAGCCCCTACTTTTTGCCCACTGGCTGCTTTGAAAAACTCCCTTCTTAATATGTAAACGTGCAGAAAATATTTTAACATTTCCCATGCTATTTTAGGGGGCTTTTTTTAACATTCTGCTCATAACATTTGCAAAGCCATTTTCGACTTGTTTTCAGATACCCCCACATTTAAGCAGAGTTCAATGCACACAAGGTTATTTTTATTAAGAGGGTATTAATCTTGAGAAACAGAGTGCCTGAAAGTCAGCTGATGAAGCAAAGGTTAGGGTTGAACAGCTATCAAGCCCACACGCCCACATTTCTACAAACAGGATTTGAGATAGCAGAGGTGAAAGAAGTTCCTACAACAGTACGTTGAGGTCTTTTAATTAAAAAGAAAATAAAGTAAACCAAGCCAAACCTCATCACATGAGTCAATATTTGAACAGGAAAACTACCCAGCCCTGTACTTTTTGCCAATGTGAGCCGTGGGGTTTGGGGAAACCTGTTCTGCAGCATCCTTTTATGGGTTTTTGGGGCCAGTAGAACCAGATGAGGCTCATGCATCCTTAAACGCATTGGTCCTCTTATTTCTGCAAGTGTGTTACACATTTACAGTAGAAGTCCTGTCTCATGTACAACTCAGGAATTTACAATACAAAAAATACATTCATAATTTTTTTTTTTTTTTTTTTTTTAGGATGTAGGCTTATAACTTGCTTGAACACTTCTGAAATGCTAAAGAAGTGCAAAGCACTTTAAACCAGCTGTGTATTACTGTGGGCAAGAAGTTGTAAGGGAAGATGCCAATTAAAGAGGGAGGCTCAAAACTGTGTTTTTTTCCTCTCCTTGATCAGGACAGATAGTAACCAGGTGTGGTTTACCCCAGGAAGCAGCTAAGGCCCAACACAGACGTTTCCTCACCTCTCCATCCCATCAGTATGAGGGGGAGAACAGCAAAAAGCTGCAAGCAGAGTTTTCTTCAGCAGAGCTTGTGCAAAATAAGTGGACACACATTTACATTTGAACACCTTTTTCTTTTACTGTAGCTTTAAAGGGAATGCTAAAGAGCGAGTAAAAGTGTCACACTACTTTCCTCGGAGCTTTGTATCCATTTACTTAAAAAGAGCACCAAGGGTTTATGCACAACAGCTCCAGGTTATATCTGGTTGCTTCTGAAAAGACTGATTGCAGCCTTCCCCTTGTTTTCCATTTCCAGGAGTCCCTGCAATTTCCAGGAGTCCCTGAAACCACCAAGAAAACAAGAGGAACTGAAAGGACCTGATAGCAGAGATTGTGCTTTTAAAGGTTTTAAAGACTGCAAAAAAAAAAAAAAAAAAACAAACAGAAAAAGGTTTTGTGAAAGGCACTTGTTTGAAAGGTGACCTGGAAGAGAAATGCTGGGCATTTTTACACTTCTTGACCTCAACAGGAATTGCAGGTGTTCACCACTTTCCCAGGACAGACTTCAAAATTTTGGCACCCATGCCACTCAGGTAGTGCAAAAAATAGTTCCCAGTTCAGAGCAAGGAGGAAGAACATCAGGAATGCAGGGAGGGAGCACAAATGTCAAGGCATGTGCTGTTATCCCCGCCCTGTGACTGTCACTGCACACAGTGCAGTGCACTTGAATTTAGACAGCATTTCTCACTGTGCCATCAAACCTGATTGAAAGTTTGAGCAGATTAAAAAGGTGTGGAGCTGCTTCACAGGCTGATGGCTGCCTGCTCCTGATGCCCTGTGGCACACGAACAAAGAGTCAAACCCAAGCAATTCAAATATTAGATGAGGCCGTGACAGGCAAGAGTAGTATTAAATAATAAATAAAGCCATCACAATTCTACAGTCTAACCTCAAAAAGCCGGAAGGATTTCATTAGCTAGCTCTGAAGTGTAAGTCAGAAGCAAAGATTAAGCGATTTCAGTGGTTGTACAGGTTTCAGTCACAGCACTTATATTTCTCCTGAAGCAGTGCACACCTGCTTCGAAATCTGCTTCTGTTTCTAGGTTTCAGTCATTTGTTTTGGGAATGGAATGGGCACTGTCAAGTTACTTTATAGCTAAAAAGCCAAGTCAGCAGATCCTTTTGTGCAACTCATACCCACACAGGTATCCTAACAAAGCCCTGAGCTGATTAATTACTGTGGCAGTATGGTATGGACTACCCTGCTGGCCAGGAACGAGATGTAAGGCCAGATGAAGCTGTCAGATCTGCACTGTGACACCCTGAAATCTGTCCTATTAAAATGTGTCAGCGTGCCCAATTATTTCTGCAATAAACCCAGACTCTCAGAGTGATAATTTCCATTTAGGGGAGCAGGGGAAGGATAAAAAAAAAAAAAAGGAGGTAGAAAAAGGGTCATGTTTGAAGTAAAATGCTGGCCTGCCTGGATTTTTGTGAAGTGAAATCTTAAAGTGGTCAGTGTTTCCTGTTCCTGATCCACAGGTAACTGGAGCTGGAGTAACAAGACATGAAATGACTTCAGCTATGGCAGCAAAAATTATTTCAAGAGCTTTAAGCACAGCACCTGATGCAAAACCCAATCTTGGCCCGTGACTGAGACAAGCCAAGAAACCCTTTGATAATCCAGCACCTCAGAAAGATGGGGGTTAACACTTATCTCAACAAAGTCACTCTCTAAAGGCATCTTAGGGAAAGCCAGAAGGGAGAGCTGAAGGGTGCCATCAGTGAAGTTAAAGTGCTGCTTAAGGTGAGGGACAAGGTTGGCTTAAGAATAGATGGATAATTGTTGCCCCCAAATAAATTTAGCATAAGAATCAGAAAAAAAAAAAATCCCCATCCTTTAGAGGATCCTACTCTGGAGCAGCCTCCCAAGAAGAGCAGCTTAGACTAAAAACTGACAAAATTCTGAGAAGGAGCTTGCTTGCATACTGAAAGAGATTTGTGATGTACTGCATTCGACTTGACAAAACACTGTGAACGCACCTGGGGCTCTTCCACCCCACGCACAGAAAGATTTGCTGCAGCCACTTCACAAAGCAGGGCTGAAATTGGAGGAGGAAATCATTGGAGCAAGCAGCAGCCAAGGACCAGAACAGCTGGAGAGGCTCAGGCTCCCTGGATTTATCTACCCTAACCAAAATGAGCTGCCAGCAGAGTGCTGCTGTAAAACACCTCCACCATTCTGAGCTGCCTCACCACTGCCAAAGGCCAGGTCCTGGAAGTACTCATTTCTGCAGGTCTAACTTCAATTAGATGACTCACAAATGTAAAAGCAAAGTGTGTGCGCAGTGTTTTTCCTGATCAGGTCCTAAGGCTGCCATCTGTTTCTGCTGGAGAGCCCCTTCTGGTTCAGCTCATTTTCCTTGGAGAAGTGATTTCAAACATTTCTGGAGTCACACCACGAAGCTGGGCGTAGAGGAAGGAATTATCTCCCCTAAATGCATTGTCCTTTGAGCCAAAAATAGCTCATTGCACATCAGAACTCATCAGTTCATTTTGTCGTTTTCACGCTGATGGCTCAGCAGTGAGTCCTGGTGGAAGCAGGCTGTACACAGGCTGAA